CACGTGTAACCATTCTTTTAACATTCCATGAATCCTTCAGTCTTAAGTCTTCACCTACTTTTTGATTGTATCTCAAGTCAAATACAAAGAATACAAGAACTATCCATATAAAAGGTCAAACCTGACCACTCTGATCACAAAAGAATTATCTCATCCTTGTCAGCCTAGTTTATTTTTTTATTTTAATATTTTGAGAAACCAATTACATGTTCTTAAATTTTTCACAAAAAAGATTTTGTTATTTATTTAAAAATTCAATCTTTTTTTTTCCCTTTTTCCAATACTATTCTAAGAAAATAATTCTATTTCTTTCCCTAATTTTTAGTTGATATTCCCAGGTGTTTAACAAGTGACTAGTAAGCCTACGCGAATGAGATTTGCTGGGTAAGGATGCATGGAGAATCTAACAATAGATTCGGAGTTCATCATGTCCGCCACCGGATGAAGCAGCTGTCTCTCTCTCTCTCTCTTGCACACCTTGAAACATATGCAGCAGCTGCCAACTGCCAACTCCTCTCCTTAACCGCCCCATTAATGGAGTCATCCAATACGGTCACCCCAGTGGAGCTCACTTCTCTGTCTCCATCCCCCTAGGATGTCTCTGTCTCCATCACCCTTGGATGTCTCTGTCTCTGCCCGTCTTTCATCTCCTCCAAGAGCAATGCAGCCGTTCCATTGTAGCTCAGACCATGGTTGCCACCTTTGGTTCCGTGAAAGGGACTCTGACTCGGGGAGAATGAATCTCCTCGCCTTCACCGCTTCTGATGCCGAGCAGTTGTACCTGTCCCTCGTACGCCCATCACCATCAACCTCAGCATTTATAGGAAGCTGCGAGATGGCAGCAGCTGTAGCCGAGGCGGTCGGGTTGCAATGGAGACAGAAGCACCGGCCTCCTCCTCGGAGCTGCACGTCGCGTCGGCGGCGGCCTACTTGGTGTGGGAGGACCTCACGGCCGTGCTGCCAAACTACGGCGGTGCCCGACAGCCTAAGAAGTTGATAGACGGCCTAAGCGGGTACGCGGTGCCTGGCCGGATCATGGCCATCATGGGGCCGTCCGGCTCCGGCAAGTCCACTCTTCTCGACTCTTTGGCAGGTCTTCTCCTCCTACTCGTATTGTAGCAAGTGATGCTTCTTTAGTTTTGTTGCTTATAAGAGCTGCTCTTCTTCTGTGACTGCAATTTCCAATAGGGAGGCTTGGAAGGAATGTTGTTTTGACCGGAAGGGTGCTTCTCAATGGAAAGAAGAGAAGGTTGGACTACGGTGTGGTGGTACGTTGCTTCCCGTACACTCTTTGGTTCATCTCAGACATGCTGCTCTGACATCCCTGACTGGAATTCTTGTTGTTGGGAGAATGATACATGATAAGGATTAGAGAGGATTAAGGATGAAATTGTTCGATTTGAAGAAGATAATTCAGATTAATCAGAGCGTAGCACAAAGTGGATATTAAACTTACTAGGATGATATGGAAAGCAAAACTTTTGTTCTAAATTCAATATTAGTCAATGCAGGAAGCATGACTCAGGGTGAGCTTCCAAGACTACAGCAGTAAATAGATGAAAGGGGGGCAAGATAATTTACTTCTTTGCTAATTCAGATTAACAGGGTTCATTACAACTTCAAAATTTTACACTTGAACCTTGTTGTGGCTTTAGTGCTCTAGTTACGTAGGCATTGATCGGATGTTCTGTTCTACAGTTTTTTATTCATAGGAAATGGAAAAACTCAAACATTCTTACCAGTTTGATATGTTTTAAGGGAAACAAACACATACAGCTGATATATTTGCTGGTTAAGCTTAAATGTTTGATCTTCAATTTTAATTTAACATGATCATGTTTAGGCTCCATCCTTGAATATTTTTATTTTGCAGATAAAACCGCATTCTCTTTATATTCCTGATATTTCTTCTCTTTTGGGTAATTATCATCTCAAAATCCTTCCACTCTGATAATTAAAAGAATTCTGCTGCTTTTCTTGATGTTGCTAAAATTCTTCCCAAGAAAATTGCCTTCTCACAATACTTCTTCTATGATAAGTAAAGATTCTTATGCTTTGTCGTATCCAATTCTCTCATATCTCTGTTGATTACCACAGGCATACGTGAGACAAGAAAATGTGTTTCTTGGAACCCTCACTGTCAGAGAAACCATTACCTATTCAGCTCATCTGAGGCTCCCGGCCACCATGAGCATGAAGGAGGTGGCAAGTGTAGTCGAAGGGATGATAGAAGAGATGGGCTTGCACGACTGTGCCGACCGTGCGATAGGAAATTGGCATTTAAGAGGGATAAGCGGTGGAGAGAAGAAGAGGCTAAGCATTGCACTTGAGATACTTATGCGTCCTCGTCTTCTGTTCCTCGATGAACCAACGAGTGGACTTGACAGTGCCTCAGCTTTCTTTGTGATCCAGACACTCAAGCAGATTGCACTCGACGGAAATAAGACCATCATCTCCTCCATCCACCAGCCTAGCAGTGAAGTTTTTGCTCTCATCGATGACCTCTGCCTACTGTCAGGAGGAGAGGTTGTCTATACTGGAGATGCTAAGCTGGCCACCAAGGTATGTCGATCTCTCTTTATAATAACTCTTATTGTTTTCCCTTGCTGAATGCCTGGATATGGTATTGTAGTTCTTTGCAGAAGTTGGATTTCCCTGTCCCAGCAGAAGAAATCCTTCCGATCACTTCCTTAGATGTATAAATTCTGATTTTGATCATATTAATGCCATAATGAAAGGCTCAATGAAATTACATGAGGTATGCCTACTAATTCAGTAGTGTAAGATTCCTTTTCATTCTCCGAAGAATCCAACATAACTTCTGGTGTTCTCATCCTTTTTGTTCATTAAGGAGGCAGAATCATCTATAGATCCTTTGTCAAAGTTAGGCACCTCAGAGATCAAAGCTATTCTTATCCAAAGATACAAGAGCTCAGAGTATGCCATGGCAACCAAAAGGCAAATACAAGGCATATCCAAGATAGTAAGCATCTTCCTTGAAACTTATACGAATTTTATTCTTTGGTGGTCGCATGTAAACTGTCTCATCGACATCATAGGAAGCACTAAGCTGATAGCCGCATAAAATTTTTGAGTATTTGAAGTTGATTGATAGAATGCCATATCTGTATTAATTATGTATGATGGAATTTGCAGTCCTTGTTTCATCTTTTTGGGCTTTGATAGTGGCCAAGACCTAACTTCTTAAAATTTTCATTTTATTGAAGGAAGGGATTATATTTGAATCGGAAGAAGGGAACCAATCTACTTGGTGGAAGCAGCTCAGAACTCTCTCAAAGAGGTCTTTTGCAAACATGTCGAGAGACATTGGATACTACTGGTTAAGGATCATAATTTACATGATAGTATCTGTATGTGCCGGCACGGTTTACTTTGATATTGGCAAAAGCTACAAAGCCATACAGGCAAGAGCTTCTTGCGGAGGCTTTATCTCAGGCTTCATGACATTCATGTCCATCGGAGGATTTCCATCCTTTATCGAAGAGATGAAGGTCTTTACACGCGAAAGGCAAAATGGCCACTACGGAGTTGCAGTATACATACTCTCCAACTTTCTATCCTCATCACCATTCTTGGTTGCAATTGCTTTCGTAACTGGATCAATAACCTTCTTCATGGTGAAGTTTAGGAAAGGTTTCTCATACTTTGCCTACTTTACTACAAGTATTTACGCCAGCATTGCGGTGACAGAGAGCCTGATGATGATCGTCGCATCACTTGTGCCAAATTTTTTAATGGGCATCATAACTGGATCTGGCATCATTGTAAGTGCATATTTTTGCTGCATTTGAAAAAAGATCATAGTGACAATGTGCGACATTTTATACTATATGTTCAATTACAGGGAATTATGATGATGACGGCAGGGTTCTTTCGCTTGCTACCAGATCTTCCGAAGCTTGTTTGGCGATATCCAATTTCCTTGATCAGTTATGGTTCATGGGCATTGCAGGTAACCGTACATCTGTATTACTTTCTTCTACTCAAAAATAAATTCCTTTACGTTTGGCAGGATAAAGTACTTATCAGTTTGAGTTTTAAAAGGGTAAAAAATGGAGTTTTGTGTTAAGGTACCCTAAAATCTTTTCAAGTGGAGAGAGCAAGAGAAATATGAAGAAGGGAAAGATTGAAAACTACCTTTTGATCGGAAGATGCCATCACTTAATATTTCATTTCCAAACAAACCAATACTTTCTCTATGGATATCATGATCCCAAGATTCATATAGGTCTCTACTTCCTTTACGAAGAGAGAAGTACTTAGTTGTAAGTTCTTTAATCTGTTAGTTGTTATCCTTCTTGGATGGTAATCGTTCTTTCCCAATGAGAGATCAGGGTTAATCCCCCATTCGAATGATTTCCCTTACATGGTCAATGGACTAGAATTTGAGACTTATACCATGCCTTTTGAGGTCTTCATATTATGTTTATTCTTATTGTCTATAAACTAAAAATATATGCATACAAGAGCTGTCATATTCTCACTGTTCTTGTAATCTAAATTGTTCTTAGCAAGGGAGCAATGAAGAAAAAGGATGAGTGAGATTTAGCATTCCTATTTGACCTACATAGTAACACTCATGCAGAGTTTGTTGTGCCCATAAAGGCAAGCTCGCAGTTGTAGGCAATCTGTTTATCATTAGTTTCCACTAATGATATATTAGGAATTTTTCACAAATCCTCTTAGCCCTCTTCTTCGGACAATGTATTAGAATATGCTGAGTTGGTTGATGATTACCTTTATTATCAATCATCGTATTTCAGACACAAATTTTGACATGGTTTGCGCTTGCTAGAATTAATTCATGAGCTTCTGTCTATAGGAAAACTACAAGAATAATTTTGCTAGAATTAATTTCATGAGCTTCTCTTTATAGGGAAATTACAAGAATAATTTGATTGGGCTAGAGTTCGACCCGTTGATATCTGGGGATCCCAAATTGAGTGGGGAGTACATTCTCGAAAACATATTTGGAATTAACTTGCATCGATCGAAGTGGATAGATCTAATGGCCATCTTCATCTTACTTATATCATATCGGGTTCTCTTCTTCCTCATCTTAAAGTTTGGAGAGAAGGTATCGCCGGTGTTTCGAATGATCTATGCAAGAACAATTCTGAAGCTGATCATGAAGCTTAAGATGAGGACGATGTCCTTCTGAACGAGGCACCCAACACAGCACCCCATGGCTTTGCAAGAAGGACTTGGCTCCCCACCTCCATGACATCAACTAGTACTACTTGATGGTGAAACTGTTAATGCTGGGCTTGCTATCTATTGAAATAATGGAGGGGGGTTGCTGTATGTGTTCTTGGGGGTGACTTGCTCTCTCAAGTCTTCATGCAGGAGGCTTTGGTTCTTGTTTTGCCGATGGATGCATATTGTTTCATCCGTTTACATTTTTAAGCATGAATTAACAATTGCAGATCGAGGAATGTTACAAGGAGAATTAAGCAATGATCTCCAGTCCTCTCTCTATGAACAACAACATAAACATTGGCATTGCCAAGCTCAAATTGAATTGACCTCCAAAATTAGCAGGTATTCTTCATGTATCGATCAGTACTCAAAGGTGTCTGGAAGAAAGGTGTGCTATCCAAGTTGCCTTGATAATGTAATAGAGAAACACTGTTGGAAACATTGTGTAAATTGATCAGGGTACACTTTATTGGTCTCTTTCTCTAAGGGTAATTCCAACAAACGGGTTGTTAGCATATCGGACTCTGAAGCCTAAGTTATATTGTCTTTCGTATCTCTCTCTCAGTAATTCTAACAAATAGGTTCCATGTAATGTCGTTCCTCTGCAGCCTCTGTAGACCCATTTGCATTCTCTTTCTCGTTCTCCTTCTCCTTCTCCTTCTTTGGACCTGCCGCCATTGTCATATCCTTCTTCCTCAACTTGGAGCGAGGCTTCATCGGCTTCATATGGCACGCCTGGAAGCCCACCATGGCCCTCAACAGCGACAGCAGCGTGGCCTCGACCGCCGCCCCCTTGCCGTCGGGCTCCATTACCCTAAGCGCCCTCGCCACCGCCTCCATCGTGCTCACGCAACCCTTGAATGGCTCCTTCCTCAGCACGAGCTCAGACTCGAACGTGCTCGGCCCTTCCACCCCGGGTTCGCAGCAGCCCAACGAGACCTTCGTGGCGAACTGCTCCAGGAACGGCAAGCTCGCCGCCACCATCTCCTTGGCCTGCCTCCACGTGCCGTCGAAGACGACGAGGACGGAGGGCGGGCCGGCCGCATCGGCGGCGAGGAGGCCGAGGTCCCTGCCCCCGGGGAAGAGGAAGACGGCCGAGGGGGCATCTCCGCGGTGGCCGTGGTAGAGGGAGTCGAGAAGAGGGTGGGAACCAAGGCGGAGGCGGCGGCCGGGCAGGGTGTGGCAGCGGCGAAGGCAGCGGGCGAGGAGGGGGAGGGTGGCGAGGGGGTTGCGGCGAAGTTCATGGGGGTGATGGAGCACGACGACGGTGGTGGAGGTGTGGAGCGGTT